TGTTAGTTTAATAAGCAAAAATTATAAAAAGTCTACATGAAACTGTTAGTTTTTCCAATAGATAACGGTTTCTATTTTATGAATCACATACCCTTTTAATGCATAGTAACTATTGTAATGTTAGTTACTTGCTTGGTAAATAAAAACTTTATTAACTATTTTACTATTAGAAGAAAAACCGTAAACCTGGGATTCCTTTCAAGAAATAAAAATCGATAAGTTACGGTTAATATGCTTACCTGACTAGTTTGTAAATTAGTTAGATATTGGACAGTATATATAAAATGTTCAAATGTCTGGTTTGACGAATATGCAAAGGATTTTAAGATTACTTCGTGAGTGTTGTCTCCTTCTACCTTATGATTTTAAGCATACTCGTCAAACCAATACGGAGAAAATGAAAAAGGAAAATTTTCCTAAATATTAAAGCGATATTTGCTGATGACCTTATGATGATGATGATGATTTACAATTTATCTCACTAGTCCATTGCTTCGTAAACTAAAATAATAAAAATAACAATTTGGACCCGAATTTGACTTGAAATAATTTAAAAAAAAAACATGTCAAAATTGAGATTATTACAAGTTACCTATTAAATTCTACTATTTCTACGACAAATCCAGTCATTTAAATCCGAAAATTGTAATTTTTGCATTGTCATAAGAATTTAGTTTTCTCCGTGAATCATTTGGACAGTGTGTATATTATCCAGCTAGTTTACAAACTTTGACAGATAGATTTCACTAATGATACACAGTTTTAATTAAATTTAAGAATAGTTCTGACGATGCCAATTGCTTAAGAAAAAACTTGAGAAACCCCAGATTTTTGTTATCATTCTCTTATAATCTTCTTAATCGAGATGCCTTAATTAACTGAGCTGAAATTATTGAAAAAAATAATTGTAGGTAATTTTATTTAGTTTCCTAATACTATTAATACCTAAAAGGGTCAGAAAACTGTAAAATACTAAATGGTGAACCACTTTAAACGTTTCATTATCTACGGCAATGATGCGTTAAAAAATGAACAGCATAAACTATGAGTGACTAGCAACTACTAGTAGGTAACAAGTTTTTATCATTACTTGGTTCAGTGATGATAAATTAAAGTATGTACATGCATAAAAGGGCGTTCGTTGTTGCGCAGGTTCCCTACACGATAAAGTAAACCGAACAAACGGTTCGGAGAGTTGGTTGCTGCGATTGCGTCTGAAAATTGCTGCGGTTTGTAACTGTACGGCAAGGCAAGGACTTCAGCTTTCCCTTCCGATAAAAAAACGTTTAATGTATTTTAAAATTACGACGCTATCGCGTTCGACAAACCGTTTGTTCGTTAGTTCTTGGTTGCTACATCAAATAAGTATGAAAAATCAAGAATATTATGCCAAAGACTGCGTCCAAGCGTGATGCAGGAAAACGCAAGAAAAAACGCATTGCCTTCTTTACGGGCTGTTATTTAACTTACAAAACACACGACACGTAAACGAAAAAATGCAAATCTATTTGTTACTATAACCATTTTTATATTTATTCATTTATTAAAATATAGCTAACTTACAGCAGAATTTCCATAAGTTAAAGTTCAAGGGAAACGTTAAAAAGTTTCAGTTAGTTATAAAGTTATTAACATACAGAAGAGGTTTTATTTACGATTGTTTATAACAAATATATATAAAAATTAAGAAGATAACTTCCTCTTCATATCTGTAAAGTTTTATAAAAAACGCTTGCAATCTCAGGATTTAAGGAGAATGGAACAGTGACTTCCTTTTTAGTGAGTATGTTGCTGGGAATGAATGAATGTTATGATGCACCGGTATATGTCAAATGTCAGCATTCATCAATTTCGATGATGTCATCATCACCATAAGTTCGTCAGTCCTAAGACTGATTGGACATGCACCTCCAATTTTTCCTATCCTGAGCTAATTTTCGCATTTCCTCAAGACTAGAACAACCCACAACCTAACTATTTCCGAACAATAATCTAATCTAGGTTTACCCCTACTCTTAACTCCTGTTTCTGCCCCTAATAAGTTTTTGACTAGACCTTCATGCCTAAGAAGATGCCCTACTAACCTATCTCGCCTATTTCTTAGAGTCCTTAATTCTCCTATTCATTCTCTCTATCCACGCTACCCTTATCATTCGCCTGTAACACCACATTTCGAACGCTTCTCTAACTTTTTCTTTTCCGCAGCGCCCACCGTCCATGTTTCGCACCCGTACAGCATCTGACTTCTATAACTGCTGTTGCCCTTTATACAAACTAAGTGTCACTCTTCTATTTCTATAACTCATTCCTACATTTTTAAGCACAATATTTAACATCTTGTCCCATTTAACAGTGCCAAAAGCTTTTTCTAAATCTACAAATCCTATGTACGCAGTCTTTCCTTTTTCTATCGTTTTCTCTATTGCTACCCGTGAAGCTAGAATGGCCTCCCGCGTTCCTCTATTTCTTCTAAACCCAAACTGATCTTCCCCTAATAGTTCTTCCGGTCCTTTTTTCCATCCTCCTCTGTACAATTCTACTTATGATTTTTGACGCATGGGAAGTTAAAATAATTGTTCTAAATGTCTCGCACCTCTCTTTTTAAGTATGGTTACTGCCACGTTCTGTTTATAATCCTCTGGGACTTTCCCCGCCTCGTAAATGTGACTAACTAGAATAATTATACTAATTTTTTTTTATGTAGCCATATCCAAACTTGCCTAATTGATCTTTTTCTTAATCGGACATACCATCATCGTCATCATAAGGTCGTCAGTCCAAAGAATATTAATGTACACCAAAGCGATTCTGTGACTCTGTATTGTTCATGATATATAACTTTTTAATACAATTTTATAGGCAGCCACACTTATTTTCAGTTGAAAGATTATCGTTTATTTACCCTGATCGATATTTTACAAATTGTTAATTGTAAATATTAAGGTTGCTGTTTAAAAACGAACAAGTTCTTTGGTAATAGTTAATATGTACATACGTATACGTATACGTATGCCCGTCGATTTAATCGAAAGTGCAAGTAAAAAGTTATGAGCATGTCGATAACAAGAAAGATGAAATTGGATTTTATTTTGTAATTGGATTACCGGAACTTTCTTTACTCTGCACCGGCAGTGAAAACGTTCCGCGAAGGTGAAAGCCACAGACTTTATTAATATCGAGCATCTCGTTAAGAAGAAAAACGCTTATTTAATGAACTTACACTGCAATTAATAAAAGGAAATGTGTAATTAAAATGTCAAGGTTAAATCATACATATCCTTTATCCATTTGCACACAGATATCAATACTGTTTATAAACGAGTGAAGTATTTTGCAAAATATCTGGCTAAAAAAGCGGCTGTAACGGGAAATACATAAACAAATATTTGTTTTGTTCTAATAAGAATTTCACTCAGGCAAGATATGTATAAATATTGACTACAGTTACCTGTATGTATTGTGTTTTCAATTATGGGTAATTGTATAAAGAAAAAAATATGTTTTTCTGTATCAGTTGGAGTTCCTTGTTGTATACAGAAACGTGTTTGTGGATCGAGTCAGGGTAAGTATTGTAAAATCTGTATATATCGAGAAGGGTTGGCTTTAGGGAGAAGATACAAGAAATTTTCTTCATAGAAAAACGCAATTTTCCGCAAGAAACTGCGTATCCCTAATTCCCATATTCTTAATGTAAAGTGGAGAATAGTTTTCATCGTCATCATCATCATAAAGTCGTCACTCCTAAGACACGCACCTTTACCCTTTCCTATTCTGACATAGTTTTCGCATTTCCCTAAAACTATAGCAACCCACATCCTTAACTATTTGCGAACAGTAATCTAATCTAAGTCTACGTCTACCCTGCTAACTTCCGTTTCTGCTTCTAATGTATCTCTGACTAGACCTTCATGCCTGAGAAGGTGTCCTACTAACCAACTAACCTATCTCGCTTTTTTCTTATTGACTTCCATAGAGTCCTAAGTTCTCCTATTCTTTCTAATACCTCTTCATTTCTAACCTTTTCTTTCCACGTTATCCTCATCATTCGCCTATAACACCACATTTGAAACGCTTCTAACCTTTTTTCCGCCGCGCCCACTGTCCATGTTTCGCACCCGTACAACGCCGTGCTCCAAACATACACCTTTAACAACCTTTTTCGAATTTCTAAATTAATCGTTCGCAAGCATAGAAGTGACTTCTTTTTATTGAAAGCGACTTGGTCCTGCACTATCCTCTGCTTTATATCCCTAATACTCCTACCGGCGTCCTGACTTATCTGACTTCCTAGGTACATAAAATCAGCCACTTCTTCTTATCTTCTTCTTTATATTCGCTCCTTCCCTACTTTTTTTTTCGTTGCATACCAGTATTTTAGTTTTACTTTTATTTATTTTCATACAATACTGTTTTGTCAATGCCGCTTCCATTTTATTTAAAGCTATCTCTAACTCCTCCTTACTAGATGCTAATGCTGCTATACAGTTTTCATAAAAAATGTTAAAAATGCTTTTTTAAAAATGATATTAATATTCGTAACGGTATTTTAGTTATACCTATAAATCAGAACTTTTTCGAAATACTGCGACTGTAGTAGGAAATAGAACGACATTGAAGTAAAAAATTACCCGTCTAATAATCGTAAGACCAACATTTGATACGCAAGTTAAAATTTAACATTGACATTTCTATAATATACTATTTTAATACGTACATTTTTAATAGTCCTTGTAAATATTTGATTCATATTAATCAATATTCCATTTACTAATTGCATTTATTTTTTACGTATAAATAAATAGTTTTCAATAACTTATAATATTGCCTACAATTAAAAACATATTATCTATCAGTATAATATACGGCTTAACGTTCCTACCGTATGACTTTTTAATAATATCAATTGTTTCTAGAAATTCGGGATTCTTTTTCAAAAATAAAAAAATAGTCGTAATCGTTCTAATGTTTACATCAGCTACTGTTTACAGTTCATATCAGGGTTGAGATTATTTAAAGCAGTTTCACGATTAGGAAATTCTAACTACTATAATTGTAAAATCTGAATCAGTTTTTTTTTTGTTTGGTACCTTTCCACGCCTTAACTACCCAACCGATCACCATCAAATTTTGTACACACATTGTCGTGGGTACAGAAAAGGACATAGAGGACCTTTTATCCAGAAAAAAAGTACTGTTCCCGAAAGATAGAATAATTAGTTTTATACGGTCGTCGACGACTTTTGTCACATATTTAGAGCGCGATTGAAGTCACGGATTAAACCTATCAAAAAATTTTCTCTACACATTTTCAGGGGTGCAGAAAATGACACAGGGTACATTTTATCCAAAAAAAAAAATACTGTTCCCGATAGAATAATTAACTTTATGTGGTCAAAATTGTGATTAAAAATCATGATTAAAAAAAAAAACACAAACAACTTTTACTTTTTGTAATTGCTACATTATTTCGAAGAATAACAACGAAGATAATGACCGATAACCTTTTTTGATGACTTCATTACTCACAATTACTTTAAATAAATTGAACCGGCTCCAGAAATACGAAAGCAATTTCCTCGAAATCGAAATACTAAAATAATTAGTCGCATTTTTACGATGCATTTACATTTTTTGTTTGTTCCTAAAACCATTTGAAAGACAAAAAAATGCACTTAATTTTCAAACAGTTGCAAGCATAATTAACGATAATGGCGCAATAGTAAAAACGTTCAGAATTTGAATAAAAAGGCTACCACTTCCGAATAATTCCTCTCTACTTATACGTACTTGTTGAAATCAAACTGTAAACTTTATGAAAGTATATAATTTGAAAGAATTTAAACAAAAGCGAAAGTGTTGGCCAGGTACAGAGCCTTTTTTGTATCGAAAGAAAGCTAACGTGTTTAAGAAGAGTAATCATTAGTGTACAAATAATACACTGAAATACTAGTGGAACTTGTACCAACTTTGCGGCTTTCTTTTTTTATTTCTAAAGAAAAAGTTGATTTCATTTTTATTTATTTCATTTCTAAACAAGCCATTGAGATACGCACATTACGCCGTGGAAGGTTGCGAGACTCGAAGTTATCGTAATAAATCCTGTTTAATCGCATAATTCGAGTTTTGCACATATTTGCGACAAGTTTTTAATTGACAATTTTTTTCGGAAAAACGACGCTCGGTTTGGAGTCTGTCATCAGTCCGGTGCGGCTTGGCGGTTTGGACCGCCGCGCCGCGCTGGTTGACTTTTAACGTTAGCCAGAACGAAGAGCAAACATGTGCGGTTAGTTATACGTATGTACAAAGCTGATCGTATAGCTGTTCATATATCCGGTTGAACAGGCTCAGTTTTTTCAATTGACGTTGACTGGATGATTGCTAAAGATTAAATGCTGCGAAATATCTTATTAGATCGAAACAAATAAAGAAAATCGTTCTCGATCTTACAGATACGTACTTATATGTGAAACGCCAGCAATATTTGTACATAATAATATTCACACGTACAACAGATACGTATTTATGTTAATGCGTGATGTGTGTAGATACATAAAATTCATAAACGTATGTATGCATGCTTATGTATTCATATAAGAACATTGAACATAATCGACTTTTATATTCGTGTATAGTATGTACAACTGGCTTAACCGGATTCAAAACTGTACAGCCTGCCTTGATGTGTCTAACGACATCCCAAAGATGATGGGCTAACAGTCAGTGAGGAGTCTCCTCTTTAATGTCCCGATACCAGCCTTTTTACTTTATTCGGAAAATTATATCTACCAGAAGGTTTTATTTCCACAATGAATCTTTCACGAAGATAAATACACTTTATAAGTAAAAAAGAATTCATCCCAATTTGGAACAACAAACTGGTTCATTGCCACATATTAATGTTTGAAATAAATATAAAGTTCAGGATTAAATGAAAATCCTTGGACGTCTAGATGAAACCACTCTTTCTTTTCAATTACGCTACTTTTGTTTATCACTAGAAGGATTAATTGATGTCATAGTGATGTCCGATGCTGATGAATGTGGACAGATCATCAGTTCATCTACTGTTATGGAAGAAAGTCAAAACACCGTGGATAGAAGAGGTTAAATGTGAGGAGTTATTAGGAAGAATAGGAGAACAGAGGCAATATGGAAATTAATAATAAATAGGCCAGTTAGGTTGGAAGGACACCTTAACAGACATGAAGGTCTAGTAAGAGACATATTACATGCAGAAACAGGAGTTATGAAGGGTAAAAATTGACCTAGATTAGGTTAGTGCTCGCAAATTCATGTCTGTCAAAATTTTCAGTCTCTCTCCAGTCTCTCAGAGTCTTTCAGCGTCTCTAAGAGCGTCTCTCAGTTATTGTATAGGTGTTTATATGGATCTCCCACAATCTCTGTATGAGAGACTCGAACGATAAAATTGTTAATTCAGAAATTCGAGTCTCTCACAGAGAGACTGAATGAATAAAACTGAAGAATTGAGAGACTCGAGTCTCTCGTAGAAAGACTGGGATCTCTGAAATATGTTGAACTTGGAAAATTTTAATCATGTCTATCGAGACACCACTTATTGAAATGAGGATCTCTCTATGAGCAACTCGAGTCTCTCATTCAGAGACGCTAAACAGTTTTTTTGACAGTCTCTCGACAGTCTCTCTCAGCGACACCAGAGAGACTCGATGAGAGATGAAGACTCGAGTCTCGCTTTCAGAAATTCTGAGAGACTGAACATTTTTATCTCGGGTAGAGATGTAGGTTGCTCGAATTTTTGAGAATTGTGAAGATTTGCTCAAGATAAGTAGAAGTGGACGTGTGTGTCCAACAAATCTTGGGGCTGAGGACCTTTCAGAATGTATTCCTGGTTTATTATTGAGAATTGTCAGTCTTGTTTTTAAATTCATTATACAAACTGCGACATAAAATTCATCATTTTCAAGCTTCTAGAAAAGCTCCATCAGCTTCAAAAGATGTCAATTCAATGTTATAAATGAACAAAAAATACTCTACGCTATAACAACTGTTGGTTAAGATATCGATCAAATGCAAAAGCAACTTAACTACTACTGGTCGCACTAATCAAAGTCATGAGCAATTCTAGACATACAGAAATATAATACACTCCTTCATGTGAAAACTAAACCGTCTATTATTTATCCATGCCTATCACATACCTAATACAGTTACGATAAATACGGAATCTAGTACCTACACGTAATAGTAATGTTAACTTTTCGAGAAATGCCCTTAATAACTGAAACCGTTGTAAGTGATTTTTAGATAATTTTGTTTAAATATGTTTTACAAAGTCATCAGTCCCAGCACTATTACCTATGATCATTGCAGTATTTCAGATGAATCTGATAATTATTTTTCCGTCAATCCACAAATGCTGATAAAAAAATATAATTTACTTTAACTGAAAATCATATGTCTTCCTTTTCATTTTTCACAGTTTTTAAACTACTCATCTTTAAAAAAAATTAAATGAAATTTAATTAAAAGTCTGTCAAAAGACGGCACTTTACGCTGTTTAAATAAGAATATTGTAAATAGTTAAGAGAAAACCCCGTTTTAAGTTTCAAATGTATTTAAGAACGTTCAGAGTCCGTCGTATTTATTACTTACTTAACAACCACGGCAGCGTTAATAAGTTGAAGTAAAAGAAAGAACGGCCGAAAAAAAAGACGGTACCTACCATCGAACAAAAACGCGTCGGATATCAAATTACCCGTTCGCCTTGAACCCCCTCGTGATGGGCAGACTAATTGAGATTGCAGAAAGATAAAATGGACCCCTCGAGTAACATCTAAACTCTTCTTTCTCGTTTCGAGGTCGAAAAAATAATGTTTATTCACACCACCTGTTCGAAATGCGTGGTGGATAATAACTCACAAATTTTTCGTGTCAAAAACCGGCTGTAGGGGGAGTTGAAGGACAGGGTACATATAAGAAGACAAAAACACGGAACGATCCCTACGAAAGCCCCGTTTCACTTTTCATTCCAAACAAAAATCCGTCGCCCTTTTAACATTTCTTTGGCCGATGCAGGTGTCTTGCAGCGAGGGAGACATACGGATTTTATACGTATAGTGGTTGTAAAAGTTGTAAAGATGTAAAGGGTCACCGTACCAACATTAAATTTCCACGTCGGTCGTAAACAACCACCGAAAGACCGACCTTATTTTATTTTCTGCTGCCAAGCATTGCTTTTACGGGCCTGAGATTTGTTTACGAACACAGTGGCGTGCTTCACATTTACCACTTAAAATTCAAGTATCAATTTTAATAGATGGACAGTTTAATAAGTGCAATGGAAAATTACTTGTTATACCTACCTACGTATCTGTACAACGTAAAAGAATACGAGAATGAATAGTGAAACAATTGTCATGAATTTAAATTTAAATAGTAGAAATTGAAATTAAGACAAAATGTTGAGATAAATCAAAGAATTGTTTAAATTTAGTAATTCTGCTCAAATTGTCCCGTCAATTTTCAGAAATATTTTTTGTTGTCTAATCCAGAAAACGTTGTTGTTATTAATAATCAAGTATTGTGTGAAACTTTTTTTCAGTTGTTAATGTTTACTTTGAAACTAAATACGAATGTACCTTTTGATTCGACAGCTATTTTGTTGTGAACTAATTTTGTAACATTTTACAAAATAAAATTCTTTTTTATATCGAAAGTTCGATTATTCTTGGAGATACCACGGATAAAATCCCAACATAAAAACATATAGGTAGTCACATAATGTACTAACAAACTATCACATTTTACCAAAGAAATCAGAATTTTTGTTTGCTTCTAAGAATTTCTTACCAACAAACCACATATCTCTCTAAAATCAATATGCAAATTTAACATTTTCTTCTAGTTAACCTGACGGGGGTAGTACCAAATATACAAGGAATTTACTTTAGTGAAATATCCATTTTTAAGATCCATTGAACTTTGTTTCCATAAGCGGAAGTTTAGTTTGTTCACGGTAAGTTCCCAGTAGGCGGAGGTCTACCATAATTAATATGCTGTTCACATTATGGGAGTGTCTACTTTAATTCGTTCTAAATTTTACAATAAAATTGTTGAATGAATTTTCTATGTACCAGTATGAAACACTTTTGTAAAAATTTACTAAATACTTTGGCATGAAAATGGTCCGTTTTTTTCTAAAGTTGCACAATAAGCATGCCAACGTGTACTTGGACCTGTTAAATTGCATCAAGTTGCCTTTGAAGATGTCCTTGTTTGTCATGGCATACATAAAATTCAAATGGCAATACAAGAAAAGCTGATCTTAAATTAATAAGAACGGAATGTTTGGCGTAAAGTAGAATTGTCTAACTCTAAAATTATACCTGGTGTCCTTTCTCTAAATCATAAAAATAAAAGACTGCCTATTTAGTGGGTATACCTAAGGTTGCCATCTCTAAAATACGGCTGAAGAGGACCCTAGTTGGTCCTAAAACGGCCTGAGGTAGAGGGGTTTTAGTCGGTAGGTCCGAGGACTCCTTCCTCGGGAATCCGACACTACCCAGTCGTACGGACGGCTGGGTGTCTTCTGAAGATTTCCCCTCTTCCACGAAAACATAAAAAAAAAAAAATCTCTAATATTTGGAAACCAGGACAAGACGCGTGAAAACCCCGGATTTTAGAGTCCAGAACCCGGACATGTCAACAGGTTTTTTTAAACATAGTCAGTGTAACAAAAAACAGTTGAAAATGTCATAAATCACCCTTTTATTTATTTTCAGACCTTAAAATTAAATTTAGTTATTCTTTATCATCATTTTCAATGTACCTAACCAAACAGAATCTTATTACAGTTTGTTACAAATTGTTTTAATAATCAGTTAGATTTCTTTTACGTGTGTGGCGGGCGGCCCAAGACTTTAAATTTTTAAACCAGGACTACAAATGAAGCCCCCCGCACGCTCCTCGGATGCCCTCTAAACTAGGACAAATCAGGGAAACCCGGACGGATGGCAACCCTAGGTATACCAAATATCATAAAGTGACTTAAATACAATACGCTTTTAACAAAACTGTAATCATCATCATCATAAGGTCGTCAGTCCTATGACTGATTGGACACGTACCTTCACTCTTTCCTATCCTGAGATATTCTTCGCTTTTGATAAAACTAGAACATCCCATATCCTTAACTATTTTGAACAGTAATCTAATCTAAGTCTACCTCTACTCCTCATAACTCCTGTTTCTGCTTCTAATTTGTCTCTAACTATAGTCCTATAGTCTTATAGATATCTCTATTCTCCTATTCTTTCTAATACATTCTCAATTCTAACCTCTATCCTTATCATTCACCGGTAATAACTAATAATATTACACAAAAAGTAATACTCATTAAAGAATAAGGAATTATAGATTTTTTTTTATTAAACTGTGTAAATAATCCTTTCTCCCAACTGCAACGTTAAAGTTAAAACCTTAGATTTACGTCATTACAAAGTTCATTACTCTTACAAAAGGATCGGTTCCCTTGGTAACTATAGAAATCATTTTATGGTGTTTTACGTGCCTATACTTGTATACCTGGAGGCCATTGCCAATGTCTTTCGTGCCATAATTTCACCTTAAGATTAGAAAAATACATTTTTATTTCGTTAAGTGCTCTCATAGTAGAATTTGTTGAACTTGAGATAAGAAGAGTAGTCGATACCTGTTTTATTTCATGGGCCGAGAAGAACACCACGACATCATAATGGACTTAAAACCCTCGAGGTACCCTGAGCAGGTAGAAGAAGAAGGACTCGACCCTATCAACGCTCACAACCTTCCTTCGGACTTTCTAATACACATCTGATTTTTGTTACTAACCAATTTATATTTCAGCCAGTAAAAAACTTCTTTAGATAGATATCTGTACCTATTAACAGAAAAAAATCGGTACCTATACCTGTTTTCTAGTTAATAATGTTTAACCCTACTGAGAATATTTTAACCGGTAGTACAACAAATTTCTGTAACAAAAGAAAGCTTCATAAGTAATTATAAAATTAAATTACTTAAAGTAAATTTTTGTATACTCTTTGAAAATGGTTTAAGCACCGAAACGATCGTCAGAGAAATAAATGAACATTGTGAAACTTGCCAAGCGTTTTAATTCCTTTACTTTAATTTTATAAAAATGTTTCACCAAGTGACAAGCGAATCTACAATTTCAAATATTTTAAGTGATTATAATATAAAATACGTTTTATGTATAACAGAAACTCTAATATTTTCTTTGGTTATTACTCACTGTATGACGAAAGATAGGTACTTGATCCTTTGATTTCATTTGCAAGCGGTTTACTTTACTATTTATTTTCTTGTACATTAAAGTGGGTACACATATTTTAAATTCATACAGCGATTCCTAGCGATAAAAATATTCGTTGAATATGTAAAGATTATCCAACAGGCCGATTGATTAGAAATTCTGTGTGCTATACTGCGTAAAGCTGTCTAAACAAAAAAGAAGTAAAGAAAAACGTACAACTGCATTTAAAAACACATGCAAGCGCACCCATAATAAAATGTAGCTTTTAGTCATCATGCTACCACTTGTCTTGCGATGCATTTGTCTTTGTGTAAAACATGCCCATAAAAATGTGTGTATGATTTACATGTGTACTTACAAATGCACATACACGTATCTGTAAGAGTATGTACATGTACATTTGTGTGGAAGTGCAGTGGATATTGGAGGTTGAAGAAGAGGACTTTCTCTCGTCAACCGTCAACAATGAATAGCTTATACTGGGTGATTTATCGAAAAATGCTAAGAATATATTTGTAGGGTGTGCCTTTTCTAACTAACGTAAAACATTTAGCATGTTTTAGATTTAATAGAATCAGTGGCGGCGCAAGACTTGTTGTGTTGTGTGTGTTGACCAATCAATACATGAGGTCTGCCATATGTTGAAAATCAACACATCATTTTGTTGACCTTGCCCTTGGTCCCCCGTCCTTAAAAATCCAATTTAATCTAATTTAAAATGGTCCAGTGCGCTACCCCGAAAATATTTATATTAACATTAGCGTTTAGTAATCAGATTCATGCAACATTCATTATCAATATCAATTCAGCATTCGATCATACAGCATTCACATAAGATAACATTTAAATGGGCACTAGAATAAAAGTCGAAAAAACTAAATTTTTATGACAACGAAAAATTACAATTTTCGATTGTAAATGACTGAATTTGCTGTAGCAATAGTAGAATTTATTAAGTAACTTGTAATAATCTCAATTTTGACATGTTTCTTTAAAAATTATTTCAGGTTTCTTAATTATTACGATCAAATTTGTAATATCAACTAAATTACCTAGTAGGTAAATTTATTTCTGCTGGGATTTTATTTTTACAAATTCGTGTCCAAATTGTAATATTGTAATATTTAGGTAAATTTTGGTTTTTCATTTAGCACTAAAACGTCTTAAAAGTTCGATCGCCATGCGATCGTCGATGGTCTAAGCAAGATTGAATCATATAGCAATTTTGCATGTTATCATGATCCATTCTTTCTACACGTTTACAAAGGTACTCGAAAATATATAGAAAATGAACTAATATATTTATGCATTTATTCCAAACTTGAACCTATCCAGGTTGTTATCAAAAATCCCAAATCCCATAATCTAAACTATGTTTTCCAGTTCACGAATTATTTAAAAACGTTTACCTGCAGTTTAAACCTGTAATCGTCTTTTCAAATCGGGTTAAAAACAATAAATGTTATTCACTATATTGAAATTTACAATAGTCAATATTTTAACAATGGTAACACATTTTTTATTATCAATACTTAGTTTAACAATAGTACGTTAAATATTTACTGATAAACATATTCATTAATAAAATTTTATATACACACATACACGTTAAAAAAAATAATAACTAACAAACATTAATTCTATATTCATACTTCTTGAACATTTTCCAAAATGCGGTCTTTTAAATTCCCTTTTTAATTTCATAACGTATAATGGTCGCACACAATTTGCTGTACCGATGAATAAGAAATGCTTATGCACTTACATGACTCTGAATATTAATGGTGCTAAAAATTGACTAATGGTAAAAAATATCACCTCAAACTGCGATAATTTCAAAGGAATTGCTTCGTTTATCACCACTTAGCAACCGAAATAACTAATCATAGTACAAAACTCATGTTTTTTTGCGAAATGTTTGTGACAAATTAGTTAAATCAGGTACTAATTTCGGTGTTTCTTTTTTTGAAATAATCGCTACTTTTGCTGCTTAGCGTGTGGTCGAAATTCAACCAAATTGCTTTCAAATCGAAAACATAATATATTTTTAATACATTTCATGCTCAGTTGGACATGAGCTGACTGATTTTTCTTTATTTTTTACCTGCCTTAACGACTACATAGAAAAATGATTTTTAACTTTTAATTTAACCAAGACGTTGCTGTATTCTCTTCGGTACGTCTATGAAACTGTATTTGTTGCCTGTATGGTGTCAAAAGGAATGGACGGACAGCATAAAGTTTCAAACGAGATAGCTGAGGGGGTGCAACCGTTCCATTATGAGATTACCGTAAAATATCGGTCTACGTAAAAACCTACGGCATTCCACCGCACTGATTTTAACGTGTAAGGACCCTTTTGCTTGCACATGTTCCGATTCCCACGAAAAGGATCGGACATATGTGCGTAAGTTTTATGTGTACGTGTTAGGTAAAATTGCGGGGGTTGTAATAAGAAAGGCTCCCTATTTTAAACCTGCTGCTGCCTTCTTATACAAGACGGCCAATTGGACAAAACTTTTACAAAGGAACTGAGAAAGGAAGACGCAAAACACACAAAAAACTGACCATAACGGACAGAATGTTTGTAAAGGTTGCAGGGTAGCTACCATACCCCGTACCATCTATTCTTCTAATGATATTATTTATACGTATGTATGAATGTGAATTAAAAAGCATTAATTAATACTAGAAATAGGTCGGGTACTCGGTTTGAATCCGACACTTTTTTAAGGTGCCGGATAATGACGTCGGGTAATTCTACCAGGGGAAAAAGAGAAAACACCAACAATAATAACAAGTATAACAAAAAACCTACCTAATGACAATTGATAATTAAGAATAATTAAGATTGTATTTGGATAATCTATTATTATTTATTGATTACTATACTAAATTATTTTTTCTTTTGATATAGTTCTTGTGTTAACTTTGTTAATGTGGGTTAAAATTGGTGATACTTAATGTATCGACTTTTAAAAACACCTTGATAAAGTCTTTAATCTGAAGCGAAACGTTGCTTGTTTTTTAAAACAAAAAATTTTTTCATCCCTTATTTGGCACATTATTTTGTTGATACATCAGTAAAGCCGAACCGATACAATTTTTGTCGCCTGTTGGTATATTAGATTTTGATTAACGATAAATTATAGGTATTATTAGTATGATTTTATCACCTTGCAAACTTTTAGTGTTTAATCTTATAGGCTCATTTCAACGGTTTCAATTCAACCCTCGTTGAAAATCCGCCTACCAACAATTAATATTTCATTTGTTTAGTGTTTAAAGGACTTTTTGATTTTTAATGGAAAACTTGTCAGGACGAAGACATGAACTATTAACCCTTGTGGTTTTGCAGGGTAATTAATACAAATGTAATGCTACTAAAAAAGGACTAATCAGAGTTAATTGAATGTAAAATAATAAATAACATACTTACAAGTGCTGAAACACTTACGATAGGTAAGATTAATATTTAATGTAATATTGTGAAAGATGACTATAGAATTTATTACTCAGTTTCCCTGCTTAACTGATTCATATTCCAAACTCTAAATAATTTCCTTTCAAATGATGCAATAGATATTTTTCTTGTTAGATGTATTAATTTATTCAGTAGTTTATTTATTCCTAACCATTTATTAACGTAAGAAAATCATTAACATATCAATTTTTCAATTTTCGCCGTAATTTCCCTTTATACATTCTTATTTGCCTACGCAGTAAAAAAAATTAAAAGCTTTCAAACGATTATAAAAGACAAGCCTTTAATATTTAAACTGTTATATTGACAAATTCTGTGAAAAGTTTAAGCAGGTAATTACAATTTTTAACATTCACATGTTTTAGGTGCCTGTATCTAGTTATCTAATTAATTATTCTGTGAACAGAAGAAAACCATTTATCATAAGTGGAAATTATATACACAATCAGTAGTTGTGTTCAAAAAACAGGACGAAAATTATTAATATAATATTAGAATTGACCTGTTGTCGTAACTTGATACATACGGTCATGACCACTGCTCAGATTATTAACGATAATATTTTCTTCAATTAATTAAATATATGTGTACATTATACAATGTAGCATATGTGCAATATGCAATGATTATTCAATCTTTTGAAATATAATAGTTATTTCGGTAATCATAGAAGAAATAGCTAAACTTACAATTACTCCAATCAAATTCTCCTTTGTAGACCCAGGCGTTTCTTGTCGATTTTGTTCACACGACACAAATCACATCTTCGATTCGATTTCATTTTATTTTATTTTATTATTAATTGCAATAATTGCCCTAATTAATACACGTGATGCACGAGGCGTTCGTTACGATTAACACGGAGATTGTAATTTTCCACAAAATAGGTAACATAGAAGTAAAAATGACTCGATCGATGCTGGATCGAAGTTGGTAACATTAGATAAAACAATAGAAGTATTTATCCCACAGAATAAAATGACATACCTACTTTCTCTGAATTTAAAACTGTGAGGTTGGAATAGAAATAAACAAAGTGTAAATTAGTCCTAACTAATATAATTACAAACGTGAATTTCTCTGTTTGTCATCTTTGGCGCCTTTGCTACTCAACTGATCATCATGAAATTATTAGGGGTTTAGAAAAGGACACAGGGTACCCTTCATCCATCAAAAAATTACTAATCCCTGGGGATAGAAAAATTAATTTTTTGAGTTCGATTTTTCGCCTTAACTATTCAATCGATCATTATGAAATTGTGTAGACACATCGTCAGGGGTACAGAAAAGGACATGGGATAAAATC